CTACGCGAACTTATCACGCTAGACCCTCCGCTCGTTCCTCGATTCGGTGCCATCGCGAGAGTCGGCTCGCCGCGCGCTCTCTCCGGCGAACGGTGGATTAACACTGGAACCGAGCTGTATTAACACGGGAACCGTGTCGTATAGGTTCAACCTGTTAACCGTGGAACGCAAGTCGATTCGTTTATTTCTTTCACGCGAATTTTCATCGATTCAGTTCGATTTGTTCGAAGAATTACGTCTACAAGCAGCGCGTTTGAAATCTTCGTGGGATCAATTTCGTTTAACATGTCGAACGCATGATTTCACGGAGAATACACAGAATAAAATATAATATTAACACTGAAACTACCGGGGGGGTCAAATGACCCATGCCTGATGTCTTCTTTTTGCAGACGTTCGACTGATTTACTATAAACAGCATTCGCTCCTTCCAAGTTTAAGTAAAAAATTTCATTGTTTTCCGGTGAAGAGGAATGTTTCGAAATCGTAAGGCAATCTTTCTGTTCCGTAAAAAATCGTTTCTGTACTCTCTTGCATACAAGAATATTTAATTTAGAATAAGAATCTAAGCAAGATTTGTTTAAGAGGAAAAGAGGATGTAAAGTCCCATTAAATTTTATTGAACGCGTTACCGCGCCGAGTTTTAGAAAACCGAATGCACCATAAATGCATAAAATCCGCAGTTGGGTAATAATAATAATTGATTTTATTACGCGGCAAGGAAGTGCAAGAATAAGGGAAGCTAACGCACGAGTAAATTAGATAAGCGGACACACTCGAGCGGAGTATAATGAAAATGGGTGTACAGTCGAACGTTAAATACATTAAAATATATTGGGAACACTCCGTAAACGCCGCTAGGTACACGTTAGAGCCGTTATTAAACTCCATTCGAATGACTTTGAATATTTTCCCCGTGTACGTGCCGTTCAACGGAACACCGCTAACGTGTCTGTTTATCGCTCGCCGTTTCCACTTACCGGGAGAACGCGACCGTATCGGAGAAATTTTCATACGGGATTCCCGGGAAAACGGTGGCCTACGTTCAACAATTTTATTCCTTTCGGCTTTACTTTCCGCCGACGTTCAACGCGTCATCGATAACACAATAATATCCGTCCACTGACCCCTTTCCTCGCGGAAACGGGTCAAGCTCACGATACAACGTGTTTCTTTCTATCCAAACCGACAGCCTCCTCCGCGGTTGAGTCTCCGAACGGAACGGATTAATGAAACTCTCGTGTTACCGTTAAAATAGAATTACCTCGCGACTACCTCCGTGAAACAGTGATACACTCATCTAGGTCAATGGGTAGGAACGTTACTAATTT